GTAACTTACTGTAACATGGTGGTCACTGTTGTGGTTCATGGGTATTGTAACTTACTGTAACATGGTGGTCAGTGTTGTGGTTCATGGGTATCGTAACTTACTGTAACATGGTGGTCACTGTTGTGAGATTCATGGGTATCGTAACTTACTGTAACATGGTGGTCACTGTTGTGGTCATGGGTATTGTAACTTACTGTAATATGGTGGTCACTGTTATGGTCATGGGTATGGTAATTGTGACTGTCCCATGATGGTCACTGTTGTGGTCATGGATATGGTAACTGTGACTGTCCCATGGTGGTCATTGTTCTGGTTCATGGGTACATAGGTATGTGGTAACTGGTTAGAACTGTTGGTTGCTTCCCTCCTTTGGAAGCTTGCATGGTCCAAAGTTCATGGTGTATTCAGCAATAGATACATAACCTTCTATTCTGGGATTCGCTTCCCCCAACCCATACTCTTTTTTGTTTTGTTTTGGTTTTTTTTTTGCTTTTGTTTTTGTTTTTCGAGACAGGGTTTCTCTGTATAGCCCTGGCTGTCCTGGAACTCACTCTGTAGACCAGGCCCAACCCATACTCTTAATATACCAGCTGTCTTAATTTGGATTTTATTGCTGTGAAAAGACACCATGACTGAGGCTACTCTTATAAAGGACAATGTTTACTTGGGGCTGGCTTACAGTTTCAGAGGTTCAGTTAGTTCACTATCATGACAGGAAGCATGGTGGCATCCTGGCAAGCATGGAGCTAGAGGAGCCAAGAGTCCTATATTTTGATCCAAAAGCAGCCAGAAGACTGGCGTCCTCAGACAGCTAGGAGGAAGCTCTTCTATACAGTATTGGGTGGAGCCTGAGCATAGGAGACCAGGTCACACCTCCTAACAGTGCCACTCCCTATGGGCCAAATATATTCAAACCACCATACCATCTGAGAACTTTGACTAGTCAACAAACTTGATGGGGTTTCTATAGAATGGTTATAACTGAGAATTCTCTATGTGTACTTGTGAGACAGAGTCTCACTCTGTAGACTGTGCTGGGTCGGAATTCTTTATATAGAGCAGGCCTGGTGATTCTTGGTGAATTCTTGGTGATTCTCCTGCCTCCATCTCCCAAGTGCTAGGATTTTAGACATGAGCCCATGTGTTTGGCCTTGTTTGAGATTTCTTAGGGACTCAAGGATGTTGGTCAGGATGTGGCTTGAGTCCATGTCTGAGCACTGATAGGATCAATCTGACTCATCAAAGTTGCTTAACTATCCACTAGGCCATCTTTTTCTTTGGATTTTTAAAAACCTCTTTTGTTTTGTGTGTATGAATGTTTTGCCTGAAAAGTATATGTGCACTATGTAGAAGAATTCTAGCCACAGAATGTGTGGGTTACTGATTCAGTAAGTACATGTAACTCCCTGGAGGACATTAAACATTACTCCAGCTTCACAGAACTGGGTGCCAGAGAGCTAGTGCCTGCCTCCCAAGTGCTGAAGACGATGATGACTTCATAACAACGGCAGCCTTTACAGTTACAAGATCCTCTCCACGGATTGCTTTTGTGGGGATAGCGTAGACATTTTTGTGTTGTACTTTTCTTTTCATTCGGGTTTCAATGAACTTTCTGGTGAAATGACTGGATGGTTAAAGTACATGCTAGGTAAACAACAGGGCCAGGGCCAGGATTCCCAGTACCCACAAGAATGCTGAATGCTGGGTAAATGTAGCCATGGGCTGGTAAGAGCTAAGGAGATCGCATGAACAGTTCGTGAGTATGAGTGGCCATGTCAGTGAGCTGTGGATTTGACTGGGAGACATTTAAGGTAGAAGAGCCATTGAGGAAGGTTCCTGTAGTGGGGATGGATTTGAACTTCTGATCCTCCTGCCTCCATCTCTCCAGGGCTGGATGTGTGTTATACCCAATTTATGCATAGCTGTAGTCTAACCCAGGGCTTTGTGCTTGCTAGGCAAGTACTTTACCAACTGAGCCCAGCCTTAGTAATCTTTGTGACACTGTACAGTCCTGGAATTGGCATTCTTCCTGCTTTAGCCTCCCAAATGATGAGGTTACAGTCATGCTCTGCCTTGTCTAGCCGAAAGAAGCTTAAACGTTAATTCTATTCCCCCCACACACACACCCCGGCTCTGTCTCTCTTCCCCCTACCCCCCTCTCTCATTTGAGATAGTCTCATGAAGCTCAGAGTAACCCTACAACTGGTGATCCTCTCCCATCAGCCTCCCAGTGCAGGGATGACAGGTGTGTGGAATGGTCAGTGTTTCATTGGGCTTAATAACATTCTTTTAGGGTTTGACCTTGGACGAGGAGGAACAGACTGGCCTGGTCACTTCTTAGAAAGGACAATTCAATTCTGTGGTTGTTCTTGTACACATGTCACCATTTTTTCGTAATAGCTTGATGTGGCCAAATTGAATGAGGTTGGGTAAATTATTTCTGCCAGTACTAGACAGTTAAAAATTGCTTTTTTATTGTTGTTGATAATGTATGTTCATAAGCATTCACATGTAGGGAAAGCAGCCAGGAGTAGAAGCTGTATGTTTGACTTCTGAGTAAAATCTCTTGGCAGGAAAAGAAGAAAGGAATGAAAGAGTAAGACTGCCTGACACTTTGCTCAGACAGGACATTTGTTTAGCATGGTGTGCTCTTGTCTACCTTGTGCCCCAAGACTAACTTACTAGTCCTTTTTAAGGAACTAGCAGCTCCACAAACACACTTCAAGGGACTTGAACTTCTCTGTATGTGCTGGTTAGTGTTGCTTGTCAGCTTGACCGAATCTAGACTTACCTATGGGGGATTGATTACCTTGACAGAGTTAGTTGATGTGGAAAACATGTTTTTTAATTATGGGTGGGACCATTCCCTAGCCAGAGGATCACATACTGCACAAAATGGAGAAAGCCAACTGACTATGTGCAAGCTTTTTGTCTCCCTGTTTCCTGGCTGTGGCTGGAATATAAGCAGCCACTTCAGGCTTCTGCTGTTTTGACTTCTCCACAGTGCAGGACTGTTTATTTGAATTGTGAGTGCTAGTAAGCCTTTTCTTCTATACTTTAAGTTGCTTTTGTCACTTCATCACAATCAGGAAAAGAAACTTAAACGCTCTCCTAAAATTGAAGATGGTATTGATTAGCTGAATGTCAGAGTAAGCTGCTATAGTCAGTGTGGTGCCGTGTGCTTAAGGGAAGGGGAAGACCACTGTAAGTGGGAGAGTAACTTCTTACAGAAGCATAAATCTTCATTCGTTTAAAGTTTTTTCTTTTTTTCAAAACTTTATTTTTGTATAAGTGTTTTCTCTGCATGTATGTATAAATGTACATATGCCATGTATGTGCTTGGTGCCCACAGATGGTCTGAAGCGGCCAGCTGATATCCAAGACCTGGGGTTCCAGAGGATTGTGAGCCACCATGTGATGCTAGGAAGTGAACCCTGGTCCTTTGGAAGAGCAGCTAGTGTTCTTAACCACTGAGCCATTTCTCCAGCTGAAACCTTAAATTTTTTATGTTATGAATTATTTTTTTTGTTTTTTTGACATTGTTTCTTCAGCCTTGTGTGTCCTGGTACTCTCTCTGTTGTCCAGGCTATCCTTGAACTCCAAAATCCACATGCCTCTGTCTCCCAAGTGCTAAGGAAGGCCTGGAACTCTGTAAGCCTCCTGAAGACAATGGTCTTTTTACCCTTCTCCTGACTTCACCTCCTGCAGGCTAGGGTATAGGCATGAGTCTCCACACCTGGCTTTATGCAGTGCTGGGGATTAAACCCTGGGCTCATACCTGCTAGGCAAGCATTGCACCAACTGAGCTGCATCCCCAACTTGGCTACTTGAACTTTTAAGTTCAGTGATAGCTACGGTCTTTCCTTTCCTGGGTGAGAATAGTACCGGATCTGATTCCTTCTCTTTGTTCTTACAGCTGTACTACCAAGTTCTAAATTTTGGAATGATTGTCTCCTCGGCACTAATGATCTGGAAGGGGCTGATGGTGATAACCGGAAGTGAGAGTCCAATTGTAGTGGTGCTCAGGTAACATGACTCCTTTTCAGGACACAGAATTGCATGGGATTACTTGGGAGAAAAGTAGAGAAAACTATTAAATAAATAGTTGTGTACCAGTTCCTTAGAAACTGTTACCTAGGAGAGAGCCTGAAAAAGGAAATTAGTTGCTACTCAATTGTGAGAACTATCATGGGAGGTGTTCCCATTCCCTAAGGACCTGTATCCTTTTCTTTAAAAACAATTGTGTTTAGTTACACACACACACACACACACATACACACACACATGTTTGTGTGTGTGTATGTGTGTGTGTTGTGCAGATGTGTTTGCATGTGAATGAGAGTACCCATGGAGTCCAGAAGACAAACAGGTGGTTATGAGGTGCCCAACATGGATATCAAACTCAGGTCCTTGGTAAGAGCAGTGTGTGTCCTCAGCTCCTGAGCTATTTCTCTGGTCACCACTCCCAATTCCAGTACCCTATAGGTTCCTGTGTGCTGGATTTGGTGGCTCATGTCTATAATTTCAGCACTCAAGAGTTCAAGGCCAGTCTCATGAGAACCCTAAAGACTTTCATTTGAACTTCATTTTTGGTTCATCCCTTAAGAGAGTGTACTTTATTCGGTGTCCTTTGTTTTCCTCAGATTCCTCTGTCTTTAGCATTCCTGTGTTTGGTGTATCAGGCCTAGAACTTAGCACATTAGGCTGTACAGTGCCTCCATATCAGAGTTCTCCTGCATCGAGTTCTCAGTGCTGGAGGCATCACTAAGTACTTTCATATTTTCTGTTGACCTTTAAATATCATTTCTAAACTAGACTCCAGGAATTTTGAGGGTAATAATCTAGTCTTTTAAGTGATAATACTGAAGTTTTTCCCTACCTTGTTTCCATTCCGATCTTTGTACTGATAAATCTTATGGATTTGAAAACCTAATTTAGCAACTAATTTTTGGGACATTATAATGTGGTTATTTAATTGAATCATTATAGTTCTGTTCTATTTGGGGATTCATTTTGTAACCTCTCAAGTCCTTCCTGGAGTGAGTACAGTACAAATATGAGGAAAATTACTGTTCCCTTATTTAGAGTTGGGATACTTTCTTCTTCAGAACTTCACTGAGGTATGACTGATATGCAAAAAGCAGTAGTTTTAAAGGGACAGAACTTGGTATGTCTTTGGTAAGCATATAGCTTCAAACGCACCACAATCACCACCATAGGGATGCCTATCACTTTCACAAGGCTCTCCAGTCTCCATTGTTTCTTATGCTAAGAATATTAGAATTTTACCTTCATTCTTTTTCTTTATTCTTTTAAATAGTCTTGTCTATGTTGGCATTGAATTCATGGTCCTCTGCCTCAAACTTCTAAGTGCTGAGATTATAGGTGTACATCAACCATATAAGCTAGCAGCTTTTTAAATCAAGTCCTCCAGTCTAATTCCCTGTATGTTCCAGCATCTCAGTCAGCTCCTGATAACTGTCCTTTAGACCTCTGCTAAAGAGGACTGAGTTTGAAATAGCCCCAGAAGAAATCTCCCAAAGGAACTCCATGACTCTGCCCTTCCTCACCATGGCATGGTGTCTTCCTTTAGTGCTAGAAGGCAGCACAAACTGAAGCTCTCTACTTCAAGATTGGGACATTAGGACCAGATTAAAATAAGGTAATACTCTGGACAGATGTTTCCAGTGTTGAAGGTAGAATCTAGGGATCTCCCTGTGTACTAGGGGAATGCTCTACTGCTGACTAATCCTCACCAAAATTAGGTCAGTACTTTTGGTTTTTGACAGAATGTCTCAGTATTTGAGGCAGGGTCTTGCTGTTTATCCCTGGCAAGCCTGGAACTTACTTTGTAAACTAGGGTGGCCTTGAACATGGATTGATCTTCAATCTGCCTGTATATGTACCATTATCCCTGGCTAGGTTTTTTTTTGTTGTTGTTGTTTTAAACAGCTGTATAAATGGAGCGGAAAAAAAAAATTAGCTTTCAGCTAGTGTATGGGGCATGCATTTCTCCCAGCATTACAGGATCTCTGCAAGTTTGAAGCCGGTCTGCTCTATAGATGAAGTGCCGTGCACTGTCTCAGCAGTAGGAAGGAAGTTTTGCTTATAACCTGAAATCTCAGTTAATATAGTAAGTCATGGGAGAGAGTTTTTTTCTTATTCCCAGAATTTACCTGCTTTATCAAAGCCCAGAGGGTAAATTCTTGGATTGGCACGAATCTTCCTAGGAATATTTGATCACAAGCAGACATTAAGTCCTTGAAGTTAAATACCTCCAATGAAGAGAATGAAATCTGAAATAACCAATCTTGGTGCTCGCTGGGCTAGCTCCCAGTATCTTCTGGCTGTGTCATGTCCTCTTCCCTTGGCTTTCTCTGCAGCCGTTCCTCCTTTCAGGCTGTTTTTTTCTTTAGACCAGGTCCTGCTACTTAGCTCAGGCAAGGCACAGACTCACAGCTTTCCTGTCTCTGCTGCTTTTTTTCTCATTTTTCTTTTTTTTTTATTTTTTTATTTTTTGGTTTGTTTGTTTGTTTGTTTTGTCTTTATTTTGCTTTGCTTTGTTTTTCGATACAGGGTTTCTCTATGTAGTTCTGGCTTTCCAGAAACTTACTATGTACACCAGGCTGGCCTCAAACTCACAGAGATCCTTCTGCCTCTGCTTCCCAAGTACAGGTATTAAAGGTGTGTATCAACACACCTAGCTTCCCCCATTTCCTCTTCAGCGGGGTCTCGTGTAGTTCAAGCTGAGTTGAATTCTGTATGTAGTCAGGTGTGCCATTGAGCTTTTGGTCCTTTTGCTTCTCCCAAGTGCATCTGCCAGTGCACCTAATATGTGTTGCTTTGTGCTTGATAGGCAGGCACCCTGCCCAATAATTCTGAGTCCCAGCCCCCAATATGTCAGCTTTTTATTACATTTGATTTATTTGCATATGTGTATAGATGCGCATGTGCCAAGATGTACATGTAGAAGTCAGAGGATAACTTGTGGGAGTCAGTTCTTTCCACCTGTGAATACTCAGGTCATCAGACTTGGAAGAGCCATTTCTCTAGTGTTGCAGTGAGCTTTGTGTTCCCAGTGAGTTGCAGGCGAGCACTGGCCAGGAGCTATCTTGGACCCAAAAATGTAACACAGGGACACACACATGCCAATTAATTTTAAAATGCCTTTGCTACTTCAAAGGCTGATCACTCCTAGACCTTCCCCTGCTACCCCAGGCCCAATCAGGGAAGTGGCCAGTGGCTACTTACCTAAAAACTCACATGGCTGGGTAGCTTTGTCTCCTTCTTCTATTGCTTTCCCTTCTTCTTCCCCTAGTTCTCGAGATTCTCCCCACGCCCTACCTGCACAACTCTTAAGTGTCCCAACTCATGCCCAGCCATTGGCCACTGATATCTTTATTGATAGATCAAAAACCAATTGGAGACAAGGACCTTCAGCATCTGGACACAAAGATTCAAAGCAGTAGCACCAATCTCCAACACTCTAGTGCCAGAATGTGCAATGTTTAATGTCAGTTAAAAACTAAGAGTATAGTTGAATGTGGAGGCTTGTACTTGTTATTCAAGTACTCAGAAGGCTGAAGCTGGAGGATCACTGAGTTTGATGCCAACCTGGCCTACATAGTTCCAGCCATTCTGTCGACTGCCAAACCACTTCTGGCCTCAGAGAGCACCAGGTATACACATGGTGTACACACATACATTCGTGCATGTTAAACACCCATACCATTATTAAATTTAAAAAAAAAAATGTGTGCGTGTCTTAGTTTATACCTTTGATCTTGAACTCGGAAAGTGGAGGCAGAAAGGTCAGAAGATCAAGATCCTCTTCTGCTACACGTCTATTTTAAGGCCAACCAAGGTTACTTGAAACTCCGTCTCATTTTTAAAAGGGAGAGGGAAGTGTGTTTGTCATATTAAAAGTGTAATTTAATTAGATAATAGGTTTACTAGTAATTTATTTGATATTTAAATAGTTTTCCTCAGTGTTTTAAATGATCCTTGTAAGCTAGGGGTGTGGTTCAGTGGTGAAATGCTTACATAGCATGAAGAAGGCCTGGATTTCAACTTCCCACCCACATGTAGTAACAGGATAATAATGGTGAGAAGAACAACACGTGAAGTGGTATCACTACAGACTTTTTAATATTTAAAATTTCTTTTGCATTGGTCTGTTTTCTCTTTTAAATTTTGTTATGTCTAAATGTTACTATTTTATGCGTAAAGGTATTTTGCCTGCACATATGTCTGTATCGCTTGTGTATGTGGTGCCTATGGAGGTCAGAAGAGGGCATCCGAGCCTCTAGAGTTGGAGAGGCTGTAGGCTGTAGTGTGGGTGCTAGAAACTGAGCCCATTTCCTCTGGAAGGGCAGCTTGGCACTGGCGAGCCATTGTTCGTGGCTTATTTTGCACAGGGACATTTTTATATGAGGCGTGCAAACATATTTTCTTCTATGTCTCCCTACCCTCTCCTACATGCATTATATATTTTATTTTACTCATTTTGATTTTGGGGTTTTGAGATGTAGTTCAGGTTAGCATTGAACTCAGTCTTGCTGCCTCTGCCTCCCAGGTGCTGGTATTATAGACCTTTACCACTGTTTCTAGCTACTTTCTTTCTTTCTTTTTTTTTTTTTTTAAGATTTATCTTTTATTTATATGAGTACACAGACACACCAGAAGACGGCATCGGATCCCATTACAGATGGTTGTGAGCCACCATGTGGTTGCTGGGAATTGAACTCAGGACCTCTGGAAGAGCAGTCAGTGCTCTTAACTGCTGAGCCATCTCTCCAGCCCTCTAGCTACTTTCATGTGTTTTAAACTGGTATCAACATAAGAATTCCAAAAGCATTTGGTTTTTGTTTTTTATTTTGCTCCACTGGACAGCTTCACCTGACTGCTGACCAGGCGCTGGGCTCTTTGAGTGATGAAAATAAAATTCAGCTCCATTTTGACCCCCACCCCAACCTGTTTCTGTGACTGTCACATCTACTTAGTTGTTTTTGACACAAATCAAGGGT